ACTGCACACTTGTTGCAGCAGCGTACGATAAATCACAGCAGTGTTTACGGTATATAATATTATAGTCCTTCGTCGCTGGTGGATTATATGAGAAAAAAATCCATGCCACTTCTAGGAATTGTAGTGGTCAGTATGAAAGGACAACCCCAATAAAAAAAAAAATACAAAAAATACAAAAAGGTTCGAAACGGGTTAACATTAAAAGTTAATAGAACTAAACGATATAATGGAATTTCAAAAAGAAAACAATTTAGTGTCGAGTTTCAAAGAAAACAATATCTTATGATATTATATAGGTATAGGTACTCATCGAGTGTATACCTATATACAATATTATATATATTATGTGTTGTGTACAAACAACATATTATTACGGTTAACGTTCGAGCGATTTTTCAAAGAATGTTTTTACTAAAAACATAAAATATAATATAATATATATAGTATATATAAAACACTGCTATAATATTATTATGTACAAGCGCAAACAAAACTTGATCATCGTAATAGTTTATTTCAGAAACAATGGCGAACGCCGTACACATAATATAAATTATAACTATTATACTATAACATATACATCAGTAGTGTATTTTTGAAATGGAAACTTAAAAAAATCGTGTAAACAATAATATAACTTAAACTTTCGTCAAACTACGATCGGGCAATGAGAAATCCAAAATTCGATATATTTCATCCATTTAAATATAAGACTGCGAAAATAATTTGCTATTTTTAAATATTGACGATTTGCATACTGTTACACTATCGCTTCAATGCCTACTTAGACTCTCGAGTGACCTATTATTTTTTTTTTCCCAACGATAACTACTTTGCCTATACAGCGAAATAATATGGAGGCATTATACAGCCTTGGGAATAACTATTTTCGTGTTGAAAATCCTCTTAAAAATTCTAATTACCTGCACGGTGTTGCACTCGCGGCCGATGATGATAATAATAATAAGTTATTATATTTCGGCTCTATACGTTAAAGATGACTATACAACAACAACAACAACAACAACAACAACGCGTGTGGTTACAATATAATATAATAAATTATACACTCGCGTCTACGTTATAATATTATTATAATTTACTTTATACATATACAACTGCAGTATACTATCACTATTTTCTATTGACTGGTGGGAAGGGAGGATATATCGAGATCTGCAATATTTTGATTTTTAAAATATGAGGATGGTTGCAGAATAATATAATATATTGTAGTTTTTTTTTTGAGATTAAACGTGATCAAGGTACTTATATATAATAATATATAATAATTAATATTTGACATGCACTAGAGTAGACACTGTCAGCTGAGGGGTGTGTTCGTATATTATTCATATGTAACGCTAACGCTGCAGCAGAGCACCCAAGCCCGGTTTAAGGGGGGGTCTAGGGGGGAGGCGTCGATAGTTAGAATTTATTTAGGGGCCTCAGATTTGTCCTTTACTTTTTCCATTATAGGCTATAACACTGCATAAATTACCTAAAAAATCGATGATTATTTAGTGAGGAAAAAAACTTGTAAATTATAATTTATAAAATATAAAGTGATACATTATTCATTATTTATTGCTATGTAACTAATACCTATATATTTATTATAACAGGTACCTGATATTAAATAATATAATATACATTATTATTTTTTATTTCGTACAGGGGCCTCATTTTAAACTGGTCCCTGGGCCTCAAAATATCTTAATCCGGGCTTGAGAGCACCCTCGGAGTTGTTTGAATAATAATAATTGGCAAAGTTCTGCACAACGCCACTGCAGCGGCTGCAGCCGCGCGCTATGTGCAGTGCACAATAATAACATATCACAATATACAGGCGTGTGTGCCTCTTCTTATTAAGTGGAACGGCATTATAGGTGGAAAAAAATTAACAACAATAATAACGACCGTTTTTGTTTCTGCAAATTTTTTTCCACCGTCTTTTAATCGAACGAGCGCGCGCGTGCACGGTTGAAATCACGACGGTGGTAGATACGTATATATTATTATTATGCGACGATAATGATCACCGACAACAGAGATCTATTCGGTGACATTGCGCGCGCGTTTATTATATTATTATGTTGTGCGAGCAGGTTTTTCACTCGTTTACCGCCGCCGCCGCCACTGCCGCCGGCGGACAAATTACGCGCGTGCACTCGCGCGACCGTCGGTAACGGGAAACGTGGACGACAAATTCCGAAGCGGACGGGGGGGGGGGAAACACGAAATTTGTTTGCCGCAAAACAAGACGAGTGCTGCACGTGCGCACGCGGGTCGCGGAGTTGTATATACTCACGTGTACCTACGAAAAAAATGTGCACTCCTTTTCCCCTCCCCCTTGAAATGGCTCTAGGGGATGCTCTGGAGCAACCGGTGTCGCCGATATAGGTACCTGCGGACGCAGTCAAACCGATCGATTTACGAATTCCGTTATCATGCTGACAAAACGTTTTACTCCCGGGATCGATGAATATACCTGTACTGAAGGTACAGATATTAAATCAATTAGGTAACTATTATGTTATAATTTCGCTACTGTCGCGACTTCCCCGTCCCCCGAACTTACCATTATTTTTGCCATCAAGATCGATCATAGTACGTATATATATATATATATATATAATACTAATTGCGGCGGCCTATATCTTGTGACTGTCGACTGATCTAAACTCGAATTTGGGTTGTGAGGGTGAAGGCCGCCTAACAAATACGTCTGAAGGTTAGTTACTTGAATGATATAAAACATACAATTTACAAAGTTCATGTACGTGTTTAAAATTCTTACCAGTATAATATTATTACCGGTACCTACTATTTTACTTATTGCAATCAACTCGGACGTTATTATTTGATAATAAATACCTACGTAGAAGCTCGTTCGACAACTTACATATTATGATAATTACTATTTACCAAACCGGCGTGAGATCGGAATCCGGAGACAACCAAGTAGAGAACAAGCTGAGTTCAAAAGCCCCACTTCGCACTCTTATCCGATCCTCGCGGGATCCGCGTGTTATGTCTAGTGATTCGTTTCGGGACATTCACATATCGATATCGCGCCTGCATAATATACAGCCATATAAATTATGACAATTATAAAACATTATCGCTCGGCATATTCGAGGGTCGCTGGGGCGCCACTGCAAAGAATCGTGTCGCGAGCGCGAGTACACAAATCGCAGTATATGCAGAACCCGCGCCGAGAACAAGCGCGCGCGCTGCGACGAAGATTCGTTTAGGAGTGTAATTAACGGCGGCGGCGGCGCGTCACGGACCCGCGGAGGTCGAGCGGCGTTTTCCTCTGATGTTTTGCCGTCTGCGCGGGGTCACGCCACCACGACAACACAACAATATGTATATAATAATAATATTATTATTATTATTATTATATTTACGCCGTCGCCGCCGACACCGTAAACACATTCGTGTAATATAGCACGCGCGTACGACACGATAATAATATTGTAATAAATCACATTTTAAGTAGGATTTATAGTGGATTTATCGTAATACTTGCTGCAATGCCGTGGAGGACTGTTGAAAAAAATTCTCGTGGGTACACGGTATTCCGGATTTACGTTCTTATATTTTATACTGACCTGCCAGATTTGTTCTACCGCGAATCCCCCTATATTGCCAGCCTAAGTATACGAATACGAACGGCCCAGTGAGCTGATCGAGTGATGTATGTAACCTATACCCGCGCGGCGATGGTCCGTTCGCGGTATACCGCGACCGGACGACACGCTGTGGTGCGCGTATACCGCGATGGTGGTATTCGTGTAGTAAGGCCGGCGCCTGCCGCTCAATGACCGCGGTACAATGGTAAATACGCGGAGCATCGCGAAAAGAAAGACAAAAAATAAATCGAATTTTTCCGATACACTCGGCCGTTCCGTTTGTGTCCGCTGGCTGTTTTTTTTTCACATATATATATAGAGAGGTACCCATATATTCTTTGCATTCCGCACGAATCGTTTACCCCTCTGGTCGTCGTCGTCGTCGCGCGCACATGCTGTGGCAGCAGTGCCGTGTCGGCGTCCACGGTAAAACCGCTCGTCGTCGGTCGAGTATGAAAAAAAAATTATTTACGATAAACAAATCACGCGAACACGTAGGTATTACCGCACACTATACAACACTGCAGCTGAGATCGTCTTGTAGATATTTATATATTGAATACGTAGGTTACCTATATTATAATATTAACGCGGGGCAAATGTATACTGATTTAAACAGCGTGCAAGTGTATCTGTAGTAAGGTAAGGTACTAAACCTTTTGTTACGATTTTCATCTCACCCGGGAGTAGAATACTATAAAGGGTCCTGGTGCCAGTTTTACAAATTTTCCACAATTCTACAACATTTGAAAATTAAATTTTATATTTTAGTTGCCACCTCAGTTATAAGACTTTTCCACTAATCTACTACCCGATACCTATTTAGGGGAGGCGGGGGGTGATAGGGTGTATCATATCGAAAAAAGGCTGTATGGGAATAACTAAAACTTTGTAGAATTGTTGGATTTTTATGACTATTTTTTTATCTGAAAAAAGAAAACTTCTTATAGCCCGCATCGATCTCTGATTTTGCATTTTATTTCAAATAATTGTATTAAAAATTTGTAAGAAAATGATTTTTATCTTATATTTTTTTAGACATATTATAAAGTTTGAGAATAAAATATTGAAAAACAGAGATCAATGAGGGCTGTAGAATATTTCCCTCTAGAAATTAAAAAAAAAATTATGAAATTTGGTTGATTCTACAAGGTGGTATCGTTATTTCCCCAGAGTGTATTTTTTGAGGACAAAATGGCATCTGCACCAGGTGCCTTAATAAATTTTGGTATCTATTTTTAAGTTTTGTCCGTAAATCACGTCTTCTCGCATTGAAGTAGAATCTTTGCCGTCCTGTGCAGGATTGTCGTAATTATTATTATTATTCGTTTTTAACGTTTGTACTTGTTTTTTTATTTTCAGATATTACTCTTTGTATCAGGCTTTTTCCTAACCTGTGAACTGACCGGCGCCCAAAATGACCTGTCGTTGACGTACCGAGTGTCTGCCGAGCGAATTGTACAGGTACGAATTTCTGAGCCAAAGCTGTTTATCATTAAAATCGACATGTTATTAATGCAACTTTTCGTCTGACTGATGTGTTTTATGCATATAGGACACCAGTAATTATGTGGAAACTCGGAGTGCAGAACAAAAGTTTTTGAAAAAGTACATGCTATCGCCAGATGTGACGTGCAACGACGGATCTCCGGCAGGGTAAATATACTAAGACGCATTATATATAAGTGTAATAATGATAATAACAGGCTTAATAATAGTAATATAATATAATGTGTAATAAATTTAATATATACTTATCTATTTTACACTGTTATTGGTATGGGTATGGCAGTAAGGGTAATAACTAATAATTTGTCAATAATTATTGAAAATTTCTAATTAGGGCCCCGAAGTGTTGATGCATTTGCATATTTGTATTTAATGATCCAAAAACACCAACATATATACAATGAAAATTTCTGTAATTTGACTAGGTATTCGAGATCTTAACTTTGAATATATAGTAGGTTTTTAAAGCCACAGGGCATAGGTATATTATTATTGATAAGTTGGACATTCTGATACAAATAATGAAATATTTTAATGGTAATTATATATTCATTTTTACGTATATGGGCTATTATCAATTTGGATTTAAATTATTATCATGATAGGTAAATAATATGAAATAAGATTGGCTTACATTTTAACCTTAACAATAACATTGGTCATATTGGTATAATGTCGGGCTTTTCTACAAGTCACAAATATCTAAGGAAAAATCAGTCTACAGGGTAGGTAATTTTGATTCGTTTACTACTATCGTCCTGTGCTGGAGCTTGCCTTTTTTTCACATCGAATTATTAGACTCAAATTAATATTATTGTGTATATTTTTTTACGTCAAATATGAATAAAAAAATATCATATATCCTTTATTCTACATTTCTATTCGCTATTTTATATATAATATTGTACCTTCATGTACTATAATATTGTATAAGTACATAATATTATATATTTATAAATCAATATATATTATTATTTTCTATTATCGATAACAACTTTATTACCTATTATAAATAGCAACTTTATAATACCTACGCTTTTTAATTTGTATGATTAAATTTCAGTAAATAATATTATAGGTATTTTAAGTTACGAGTATACTGGTACGAATAGGTCAGCGCATAAATTAATATATATCTATAGAATTACAATTAATAATTTTGTGTTTCTATAGGTTTTACGTGCGCCATTCAAACTCTAGTAAGACATGGATAGTGTTTCTCGAAGGTAATAAGCATAATATTATATGATTATACTAAAACAGTTAAAATGCATTCAAATCAAAATAATCTAAGTAATCGCGTTGTATTCTATATGTATATGAATATTTTCCCGTTGTTTCAGAGGGCTGGTGTTGTTACGACAAAGCAAGTTGCGAGGAACGTTGGTCGCGAGCCGAATACCTCATGTCATCAAAAGAATGGCCCGAAACTCGAACAGGTATTATTATATCCACGCGATTACAATGAATTTCATTGAAACTTTACTACAAAGAAAAATTATTTAATTGCTTTCCAGGCGGAGGGATATTGTCCAATAATGCGGCTGAAAATCCTTACTGGTGGCAGGCAAATCACGTGTGAGTACTATTACTTTGGCTGGTCATGATAGTTATTATATAATATTTATGCGTGTGTGTATGAAAAACCTACTTAATAAACAATATAAAAATATTAATAAAATATATGGTTGACTGACTAAATGCATACGGACATCAATCATCTATATTTATATGACTACAATTTTTGTATATAAACTTTAAATAATTTAAAAATCCATAGGATGCTTTAAGGGAGGAAAAATTGAGATAATAAAATTGGTCCGTACTTGAAGTAGTTTCAGCTGCAAAGCATACACCGCATATTTTACCAACAGGGGGGGGAGGGTATTGGATAGTGATCTTATATTATATAATATGATAAATTGTTTAGTCATTTTCCATATTAATACGAAAGTAATTTGTAATATATTTCAATAGTAAACTAATTTCGCTATGTAATTTATTTTTATATTTCAGTTTCGTACCGTATTGTACTAGTGATATATGGACAGGTCGGAGAGCAGAACCACAACACGGGTCTAAATTCACTTTTATGGGCTCCATAGTGATTAAGCAAGTCATCAGAGAGCTATTAACTATAGGTTTGGCCAATGCCAACGCTCTCATACTCTCTGGAAGCAGGTATTATATTATTATATTATATTATATTATCTATATATTGCCTATAAATCAGCACAACTTTAACAACGCTTTATTTTAAAGTTGTATTTCACAAGGAAAACATATAATTTTAACTATTTTATCTGTAAATTATTTTCTAATAAATATTTTTTTATTATACTCACATTTATATACGTATGTTTTTTATACCATTATAATTACTATGAATAATATTGCAGTAACTATAGAGGTACTATAATATTATATAAACATGACAGAATGTTATGATTTCGAGATTACATAAAATTCGTTTGGACTCGAAAAACATTATAATAAACAGACCTGAAGTACCATGTTTATGGGAAGTAGTCATGTATGGTAATTGACCCCCCCCACATCAAGTATAATTTATTATATACGTTTCAATAACTGTAGATTTATAATAAAATTATATTTTTATTTTTATTACTATTAGTTTAAGTTCCGTCCCCTCCTTATTAAAACATCTTAAATATGCTAAGGACTTAGCGTACCTATATCTCATATAGATATAATAATATAAGGTTCAATGTTAAGTGATGTTTATTAAAACTGTGGTGGTCAGTGGTCACTAATACTCACTATACTGTTTTATAATAATGATTTTTAAATAGGTATGTAGAAACACTCGAAACTACCTATATAGTATGATTACATAGTAAATAATAGACATAGGTATACTCGATACATTTTATAAAAAAAAAAAACACAGCTTATCTTGTCCGAAATGTATATAAATAACAAATTATATTATTTTTGTTTTAGTGCTGGGGGTGTTGGAGTCATGTTGAACCTGGATCCCATTCAAAAGATGTTGAGACAGTACAGCGGTATGTCGGTCCACGGTATCACGGACTCAGGTTGGTTCATGGACCAACAGCCATACGATATCGAGGACGAAGGGGGTTCATCGGCGTCGCCGGTCGAAGCCGTGAAAAAGGGCATCCCTTATTGGCACAGTCAGATACCATCCAGGTGTCGGAATCTCTACATCAACGAGCCTTCCAAGTGTTTTATCGGCTACAAGATTTATCCTACATTGTCGGGTGAGTACCTACTTTATAATTATTATACATAATATTATTACAACAGAAACTGCAAGATAGGTACCTACAGCCATATACTGCAGGTCTCGTCTGATACGCTGTATCTTGCATTCTCGCTGTGCAGAGATTTCAACGCTAAGTAATATACACTTGTAACTATAGTGTGCATATTCCATTACCTAACTAATAAACCGTTGCGGGATACCAACTTTTTTTATAAAACTATTTCTACGAATCTTTAATTTAACTAAAATCGGTCCAACAGTGGGTCTTCATACTTGGGCCTTCTGTACCGCAGTTCAACATTTTAATGCCTACACATTTTGGATCACTTTACCACTTTTTTCTTTCCATCCGAGCATTTGATCAGATCGAACTATCGAAGGTGTCTTGGCGCCATATGGTGGTACGACGCAGTTCGCTCATCGTTGCTGGTCGATAATCACAATAAATTAATTAAGATAGTAACTATGGCAAATAAGCTCGGGCGTGTAGATGCCTCCTGGCTTCTTGGAAGCCATGGATAAGGATTATGGTCATGAACCATTGGCTTCCAGGCTGTTATCATTGACGTGGCATTCGTGCATAAAATAATCCATAACAAAATATCGTGTCCAAGTCCAAAGTTCTTAAAAAGAATAAACTATTTAAGGTTCCAGTCTTTAACTAAAGAAATCTTTGTCCCTTTTTAGTTCCAAACTGCTCTATTAATAGTGTTAAGTTCAGTCCGGAGTACCGCCTTTTGAATGAATATGTTACACTGTACCAAATTTTGATTTTTTTTCTTTGATTCATTAAATAAATTTAAAAAAAATTGTATTGAATAACCAAACTTAAATTAGCTATTTACTATGTAGGTATAACGAACAATATTGTATTATGTGAGTTTGTTGTGGAAAAGCTTCAAACTATACCTACTATATACTATACAAATTTATATTTTTGTCACTGTACTTTTTTCCTTTTGGGGTGTTACAACAAAAAATAAATAAATTATGAATGATAATCAACGAAAAAAACCGTTTGGTGTATTGTTGCAGTCCCGTTGTTCGTGTTTCAATGGTTGTATGACGAGTTCCAGCTGAAAAATGACGTCGGCACGCCGGTAACCAAACAACAATGGGACTACATACACAAGATGGGCGAAAGGCTGCGAAAATCATTACTAAACGTCACGTAAGTGTCCTCTACCCACGCATACATATACTTATACCATGGATTAAACATAATATACTGTAACTGCAGTATATTTAATCTACGCTCATACCTACTGCCTGCAGTAGCAGCGTATACACGTCGCACAGACGTCGAGGTCGATCCAAAACGAGCCAGACTTCCACCTGTTGTTAAGTGACTTGTGGGCCTGGCCTCAATCGTCTAACCGCAATAAATTAAAATATACATAATATTATTACTCGTTTTATATATAAGTAAGTGTTAACTAATTATTACTGTTGTGCTCGTGTGCGCAGGTCGGTGTTCGCCCCGTCTTGCGTTTCCCATACGGTGCTCACGAAGAAAGACTGGAAGAACATCAAGATCGACTCGGTGTCCCTGCCTACGGCATTGCACTGCTGGCAGACCGAGACGAGGTTCGCGAAGATGAACGGCAACGGAAACGGAAACAACAATAACTATAACAACAACAACAGCAACAAGTCTAGCCAGTCTAGACCTGGCCGGGCGAACGGCAACCACGGTGCGGGAGGAGGCCATAATAACAAGAGATTGACGAAAGTCGACAGGCAGACGGTGACCGATAACGCGACCAAGAGGAAACAGAATAAGATGCATCGAAACGATCATCGATCTGGAGGTACATATCATATTATTAATTGTTATATTTAATATATTATTATGTTCCTAACTATTATCAGTCGCCACATATGAACTTCTGTGAGGCTATTATACCTACTTATATATACAATATCGTTTTTCAAATCTAACGCAACACGCGTGATAAGGTTGTGGGGAAAGGTTTAATACACTTTGCAAAATATTACATTGAAACACTCAAACCAATCTTAGTTAGAGCTTAGCCTCCCAAAAGTCCGTCAAGTCCCCTTCTTTTTTAGTTTTGTAGAATCGAAGCCCACCCTCCCTGAAATTGTAATGGATTTTCACCTATGATGTGCCTAAGCTTTTACGCAAGTTGGTACCTACAATAAATTTTGTGTATTTGAGTATATATTTATACCAGTATGTGAAGATTTTTAACTCGCTTGTCTACACACACATTTTTTTTTAATTACCTGTGTCTAACATGGTGTCACTGTACGATTTCAAAATTCGCCAATCTGAAACGAATATTTTCCGACTATTATCTACACATGCTATGTAACGACTAACGACGTCAATTTTTCGGAAACTAACACTATAATAATATTATGTTATACAGCATTGATTCATAAGAAACGCAGACGTCACCACAAAAATCACGGGAGCTGCAGACACCAGCATATTCAGAGCTGCACTTGGCCGCAGTGCAACAACTCGTGTCCAAAGCTTCAAAATCCGGCAACAGGTATAAAACCGTTAAATTAATCGGACGTAAAATAAAATAAATATAAATTGTAACCATCATATTAAGCACTCGGATTTAACCTAACCAGGTAGTTGACTTTAATAAAACGTCATATTATATATGGAAAAACTATAAACCAAGACTTAAGGGGCCTGCTCTTGTGTCTTTAATAAGGGGCAATATTTAGGCAATATGCAATTTCGTTGCCGCCGCTCGTGGCATTTGGTTAGTCCTCAATGGTGGCTATCACGCACGCGATCCATTTGAACGGCACTGTCAACCAAAATAAAAAGAGTGATTTTTTGCTCAAAACACGCTTTACAGGAAAAACTCTCACGCCTAGTAAGCTAGTCTGATTTGATTCAGTTAGAAAGAGGATGATTTTCTACGGGGCGATATTGAACTTCGATTTTAGATTCTGAGCAGAGCGATGAATGTATTGGTTTTACAATGATGTGTCTGTCATCGCCTTAAAAAAAATGCTTAGATTTTCTTCAACAGCATCTTTTCTGATGGGAAAGTGAATGTATGTGGTTTTTTGGGGAGAGGGTCAAAAGTAAGATTTTTTTTTTTTTGTGGTTCAGTTGTCGGCCCAATCAAAACATTTGACTCTCCTTTTAAAAATTAAAACTTTTAACTGACATTTTAAGTGACTGTTCCGATGTTAAATTTTTTTGAGATAATATTTAGACAAAATGGTAAGTCAAGATCAAAAATATTATTCACTAAAATGGTTGTTATATCCATAATTACTTAAAAGTGTCTATTGCGCGAAGAGTCAGAGAGAAAACCAATGGTGTGCTGGCATCCACACCCTCTTAACCTATTGCCTAATCTAAATAATCGAATGAGTAAAATTTTAAAACAAAAATAGGTTAATAAATAGAATAATCGAACATACTTTTATATTTTTAGATTCTGAGTGAAACAATGAATGTGTTGATTTTACAATGATGTGTGTTTTATTTTTATTTTTGTTTCTGTCATCACCTTTTAGGACAGTAAAAATGCTTGGATTTTCTTCAACAGTATCTTTTCTGATAGGAAAGTGAATCTATTTGGTACTTTGGTTGGGGTGGTCAAAAGTAAAAATTTTCCAGTAGTTTTCAAAAGCGCCGTGAAAACCAAAGAATAATTAAGGGAAAAACGGGAATTTGTACGCAAAAACTGTTTTTGAAAAAATCGATTTTGGTTTTTGGTGCTACTCTTAAACAAATGACCTTAGGTACATAAATTTTGCCTGAATATTTATATTAGCATTTTCTATACACCATAACATTTTCCAAATATTTTGACTTATTTTGAGCTGTTTACGGATATTTTCAGTTTCCATTTTTTTAAGTTTTTTTTTCTATAAATATCAATAAAATTGTATTTTTTGATTAAAAAAAGCTTGAAAATTTAATAGAAGGCTCCTAGTATATTGTTTCAAAGGCAGATGAAAAAAAATTAAAAATCCATAGTCACAATTTTTTTTTAAGCATTTAAAGTTCAAATATTGATAAAATATGGAAAAATCACGAAAATTTGCAAAAATTATTTTGAGTTAGTAATTCATAAACAATTTTCTTTTGAAATCTAAGATTTAAAAATGTAATACAATATTTCTCATAAGTTTGACTACCTTTATCAAAAAAAAAATGTCTACAAGAAACTTAAATTAAATTTTTGAGCGTTTGAAATTCATATTTTTGCAACATTTGATATTCACTCGATTTCTCATGCAACGATTTTCTTATTTTGTGTTAATTAAAAAACGAATGACCGTAGATACTTGAAAATTTTACTGAATTTTTATATTAGAATATCCTATATACCATACAATTTTGAAAATATTTTGACTCTTTTTGACCTGTTTACGAACATTTTCAGTTTTCAATTTTTTTGTTTTTTTTTTCTATAAATATCAATAAAATTTTATTTGTTGTAGAAAAAAGCCTGAAAATGTAATGCATAGCTCCTGATATATTGTTACAATATCAGTTGAAAAATATTAAAAATACATAGGCACAATTTTATAAGCATTTAAAGTTCAAATTTTGACAAAATTTATCACATTTAAAATGTAATAATAATTTTGTAGTTAAAAATGTATAAAATGTTCAACTTTTATAGCTAAGGATTGAAAATTTAAAACATGATTCCACGTAAATAGGTTATATGCAAATAACTTTATTCACCTTAATATCATCAAATATACTTCGTAATATCATAGGCTGACTGATAGTTTTCGCTCAGAATCGTTTTTCTTATACAATGATATTATATCATTGAATTCAAATTTAACACCATCCATTACACATTACAGTGACCCACTTTTAACCTACTGTACAGCAGAGCGACTTTAGAATTATACCAATTAGTAAAAGGAATATATTAATTTGAAAAATCTATTATTGGTAATACAAAAATCAAATTACTTGTATTTGTATAATGAACCTCACGTTCAACTATAGGTACATAATATATGAATCAATTAGAGTTGGACGTTAATTATAGATTTGTTAAGTTTTAGTAGTATCGTGAACACCGATAGATATAGAGTCGACAGATTTATTTAAATTAAATAATAATATATACCTACCTGTAGTCTTTACTCAAATTATATCGATGGAGAATTGTGTTATGATATCGACATAAGAGAACGATAAACGTCTTCCGTCTTCGCGTCCGTTCGATATTTAATCAATCTAATCAAACTGTTGCATTTGTGTACAGGCGAAGAAGTGGACTTCATCGAGCTGCTGCAGTCGTTTGGCGTGAGCATACCAAGCCTGTCGACCGAGCTGGGAATCGACATGGAATCGCTGGTACACATGGACCAGGACGAGCTGCTGAACCTGCTCACCCAACAGTCCAATTAAACCAGATACGATTGTCATCATAGTTGGGGGGGGGTCGGTAGTAGGTCTAGGGATGGGGTGTGCATTATGATGTGGGATAAGGGATGGGGGTCGACGCGGGATTTCAAAATATAGTAATATTTATTGGGGTGTTTTGTGTCTGGGCTTTACTGGAAGTTTACCAAAAAAAAAAAAAATATTTACACTAACAATACCGTTTGTACATATTTTTTTTTTTTCATTTTAATGTAGGCTACGAAAAACAGTCAATTTGTCTCCCTTTTTTTTATGTAAATAAGTTATTTGTACATTTTGTTAAAGGAAACCAAGCTCTTAACTAAAACGTCGAAACAGTAATTACCTACTGCTTTGATAGTATGTGTACTTGAACTTGGTTACATGTAAGTACAATATTATTATTCCTTTTAGGGACCAATATATTTTTTTTTTCAAATACAAGAGTACACAACTGTATACCAAACTACCTGTTCCTTAATATTTTAAACTAGTTTAACACCTAATGTTTTAATTATTATATATACTTAATAGTAAGTCGATATGATAACGTAATTGTAAATTTTATAGATGCGGTTTTTAAATTTTAAATAACAATATAGACAAACCATTACATTAGATTCAACTAGCTACCTTTAAACTACATACGTACCTGTCAACTGCAGGGTCGAGTCATATGAACCGCATTTATGAAACACCAGACATTAAACAGTTTAGTAATAAGGAATACTACTATTTTAGATTTTGTTAAGGAATTATATTCCTGAATTTCCGACTTTAAATAAGTCACACATGTGAATTGGAAAAAAGTAGTTTTTGCAACATTTATTTATTCTTTTTATATTCAGCAATTTTTAATTATTATTATTATGATTATTATTAAGGTAAATTATTGATTCATTTTTATAACTTATAAAATAACTATTACCTACCGATAATGAAATCATTACTTTTGTACTTATAATAATTCGTGAACAATTTTTTATTATAAACTATGAAAAAAAATTAATTAATGTAATCATTTACAAAAAAAAATCACTATTTATAACATTATTAATCTCCGATATTTATGAGTGTATTGAATTGTACGTACAAATATAAATTATAAGTGTGTGTGTGTGTGTGATGACATAATATGACATAAAATAAAATAATTTCTATACAAATTGTATGATATAATATAAAAATACAATACAAAATAAAATAATCTCTAAAGTTTTGGCAGTGTTTTCATCATTTTTCCTACTGACATCATTCAATAATTTTAAGAAAAAGTCCCAGAATAAGAAAAAAGTATTTTTTATTTTGTTGTTTCAATATTTCAGTTTTAAAAAACAGATTTTGTCTGCTGGTATTCTTATATATGAATTTTTTTAGCGTTTTTTTTCTTTAAAGTATAAGTTTGTCTAAGATTTTTTGGTAACACGAATTTCTTACATCATTTAAAAACAATTTTGCTTCTTCCACAGAAATTTTCATTATTATTATCTATTTAAATTTCCAATTGATGATTATTTTAACAGCTTTTTAAACTGATTTTTCCACCATTCAGTAACATTGTTTGTTTATACCACGAGCAAGTTGAAAATATATGTAACACTTTTTTCCTATGCCTGGGACTTTTTTTACAGACCATCATCGATAGCAACTGATATTTAACTGTTATTATCGTTTTCAAAGCCGTACTGATGAAAGTCTTTGAACACAACATTAAATTTTATGCAAACACATCCTTGACTTCTGACTCTAGTCACTAAAAACAAATATTAACAAGTTCAAAATTGATTCAGTAAGCAGTAAGTTTCAGCAAGTTAGTAAGAAAGAAAACATTTTAATTTTAATTGATATTTATAAAAGAAACGGATTGGTGAAAACTCCACAATGATAATTTTAAAATTCAATATTATGTATTTTATACCTTCTCTGCCATCGCCTCTGGCTAATAACCGTGCGTCTACGTATTCAGGTCTTTTACCAGTCAACCATGATGTCAGTTTTTGTAATGTCGAACTTGATTCCGGTACAAACATGATCATCCTACATATTAAAAATGTTTGAATAATACAATGCTGACATTTACTAGTATAAATAAGAGGACGCCACACCTGCATGTGTTGTCTCCGTCTTACAAATGTGTAACATACCAAATTTATGTTAAGAAATTCCAGTTTTATGCCATTAGCTTAAATATTAGAGTAAATCAACTGATTATGTTACATATTATCAGTGTTTTGTTGGAAATTTTTTTACGATAATTAAGCTTTTAAGTGAGTTATGAGCATTTTTAATTTACATTAATTATACAAGCATAACTCTCTTAAAAACTGAATTATCTTAAAAATAATTTCCAACAAAACACGGATAATGTTTTTACCATCAAGTTTCATAATAGGTCGATTCACTCTAATTTATAAGCTAACGGCATAAAACTTGAATATCTGAGCGTAAATTTGGTATGTTATGCGTTTGTAAGAAGGAGACAACACATGCGGGTGATGGGTCCTCTTAATATAGTACACAATTATTAGGCAATCAATTCTACTTGTAACAAAGTACAAACTAACAAATCAAATACTTACTCTTCAGAAGATTGTCCATTAACCACTGGGAGGTGACATACTCCATAGCCTCTCACAACATCGTTTCCAAAAGTGTCCAATCCATAAACACTAATGATTAATTGTGGCCCTAAAAACGTAGAAATTAATTCATTATTCAAAATCAAATAAAAATAGTTAAATCACAATTTTGATGAATCCAAACAAGTAAAATACACTTAAGTAAATATGTTGTGCATTTTGCCCATAACTGATCCTAAAGCATATACTCAAATCAATTGTTTTAACATACATTATCATTTTGAGTAAATGCTATCAATAAACTATTTCAATATACTACACAGAAAATAAAAGTTCATACTATATGTGCCAAGTGATGGTAATGATGGTGTTTGCACTTATGACTTCAGAGTTAAATTCTAAATAATCGGATTTGAATCCCGTGCAGTTTGCAAGGTGCTGTTGTAAATCACATTGAAACGTTCAGTGGTTAACGGTGCCCGCAGAGGGATAAGAAAGAGAATAATTTTGGAGTCACTATGCTCAAAACACGTACACCCATGAGGATTGGTACTCTTGAAAGAAACATCTAACGGGAAATTCCATACAACCTGTTGTCTTTCGTCTTGGCTCTTTTGAGCAATTTGCGATATGCCTTCTTCGATGCCCTGTTTTATGGCAAAACACACAGGTAAGACACAATATACAATTGGGGCAAAGAAATTCCGCCTCCAAAATGGTAAGTAAGGGGGACACTTACGGTGACGATTTCCCAATCGGGTCCATAGACGAAAGTGTACTTGCAATACATGTTGTCATAGTTCGGAAAGTGAGCTTTCTCGATCTGACCGACGACTGAGACCAGAAACACACCACCGGTCGTACTCTCGCTACCCGGCATTTTCAAGTCTTCCTTTGATTAGCTGTGCGACTTTTTGTCGACAAAATGGGACAAGAAAATCAGATTAAACTTCAAACAAATGTACGAACTTACGAAATCAGGAGCCAGGATATGAATTATGAGGAATATTAGAAATTAGAATACAAACATGAAACAATTAAATATCGGATAAAACATTATCGTATTCGATATTTCAATAATCAGATAACGCGATCAATGGAAGCCGCCCGGCGCGATTATCAGTAGTCGAGTTTAAGAGGTGTGACCAACTGAACGGCAAAATCTTTGATTACATCCGCGGGTCTCCTTCCCGCGGCGTTCAAACGCGCTAGTTGCATTCAAATCGACAATAATAGTGTACGTTGTCGACGCGCAGAATAGTAAAACACAAATAATGTTCATTAATATTTAATCATTTCATATTTTCATCGATCAATCATTTCGTATACGGTACACGTAATTGACGAGAGGAAGTCGTGCGAAGAAACACCTTAAATAAAATCAAATAGAAAGAATACTGAAATGATAATATATCAGCCACAACGGTAGCTGTGGTGAGTGCAACCCTAGACCCTAGAACTTTACTATATAGTTGTAATTCGGTAAGCGCTTCTGAACACAGACGACCAGAACGTACTATGGCCATGGATATAAAATCGTTATTCGAATTTTATATCTGTGACTATAGCACTTCTATTGGCACAGGACCCGAAAATGTATGCCTACTGAAAATAACTGAACACTAAACGGCCACGATTTAAATTTTGATTGGTAAAATTAAACATTTTTTTGTTTTTATAAAATAGATTATCCCGTTAATTGTCTAATAAAGAATCCTTAAAAATTTTGATACCCAGAATTGTTGTACTCAGTAGATTATTACTCAATCGGGATTGGTAAATTGGGTCCCAAACATAGACATTTAGATCTAGATAGCCGACTACAATTTGTTATTGAAGCCGCGTCCGCCATATGCCTAAACGGCAATGTTTACATTTTTAAATGATAACGCTATAGTATTTTATAAGAACAAAAATTAATTATTTTTTAAATTTGAAAAAACTTAATTACTAAAATTTAAAGTGCAATTATTATACACATTTTTACCTAATATTAACAACTGCTTTTACTTTTTATGTAAGTTTGTAAAATTAATGATCAACTTTTTTATGTACATTCCTCATTAGTCATTACCAATAAATTAAAGAAAAGAAAACACAGTATTTTTTGAAAATCTAATTTATTTTATTCTAATATTTACTGTTATATACTAGATACTATTGTTAGGTAATATTAATTATTGCTGAATAAAATTGTTTTTATTAGCTTGTGGCGGTTGCTAATAATATTTATTGATTCGGTATATTTTTTAAGAATGAATGTAAATATTTAAACTGATTTTTAGAAACTTTTTTGCAATAATAGTTATCAATAATAATTTATGTGGTCGTTCTAAAATGGATATATTTTCACAGCTTCAGTATGGAAATATGTTGCTGTCTAAACTAGACAAACGTATACAGTGGTTCATAAATTTTAAATCTAAATTTTGTTCAAAAAGACGCGTATTTTCTTTGTATAATCCAAACATTAATTCACATTCAGATATAATTTTAACACACAGTCAGAACTACAAATGAGACCTCCTCTATTTTTAAAACTGACTAGTTTCCAATGTGGGCCATTAACAGAAGTTGCAAAAATCTATTTTTCTAATCGCTCTTGCTGTTTAAGGGGAAATCTTAATAAAAAATATTTGTTAGGTTTAAGTGTTTATTTCATAATATATTTACTATCCTACTATAGTTAACTGCTGGTACAACAAAAGTATTTGAAATTAATAAGCCAACGAAAAAAAATGCTTTTTTGGTGATTGAACTTTCCCAGCTTTGCTCTGACGATTAAAACAGCCATGAACCATACAAGCATAAACCATTATAATAGTAAATGTGTAAATGTATTATATATGGCATAGCATTACATGGCAGCGAAAAGTGGACAATTATCATTTACCAATATGAACAAAGAAGACAGAAGAATATAAGAATATAGACAGAAATTCAGAAGTATAGAAGCCCGACGATGGTTCAAACTTAAAAATTCTTAATTCAATTTATTAATTATTAATCAAGGGATGTTTTCGTCTTTAATTCTTTATCAATCAGTATTATCATATTAAAACGTAAACATTGCCATTTAGGCAAATGGCAGCAGCAACCTCAAAACATTACATGGCAGTATGATAGTAGTTGTCTATCTAGTTGTTCTATATGTCTATGGTTCCAAATGACCCTTACTCGGTAAATTGAGTCCCAGGGAAACAGACGGTTTTAAACCAAGTATGGGTAAATTCGTATTTTTCCAAAAAAAGTAAAACACAAATTACACAGATTTTTTTAAAAAAAAACGCAATAAATGTTCAAATAAAAGTTATAGACCGTAAGTTTTTCTATGTATGTCAGTTTAAAAAGTTGCATTATGTTAAAAATTACATGATTTATAAACTACGGAAGCTTAACCATACGGTACTTCCCCTAATTATTTTTAATTTTTTTTTATTAATTTGTACTTGTAATATTTTTAATTAATGTAAATTAAGTATATGATAATAATGATGTAGTTTTTATCGAGTACATAATATATATATAATACAAAGAAACATGTATTTATAATTAGTAGCTTACTTTTTTTCCCCGGGACCTAACTTAACTACTACCTGTTTTTTCCCGGTCATTTCAAAATGTACCAAACTTATCTCGGACCCAATTTACCTAGCCCCAACGCAATGTACCAAACAATATCAATACAATTTATTTTCAATATGATTTATTACAGCACATTCATACTCTGCCACCATCAACACAGTATTATTACTTATGTAAAATAATTTACATCTTTGGTCAATAAACGCAAGTACCTAACTTTCAGACTAGTGATTACATTAATACAGGAAGATTTCACACATAAGCACAATTAGAGAAATTTCATTAATTGTGCCCGTAAGTAACCATTTGACACTTGTATATAAAAATTTTATAAGAATACTAGCCGATCCTGTGCACTTTGTTTCCCGTTAAATGTACCAACTCTATATGACTCAAACTTTGTTCAATTCGTTATTTAATATTCGGTGTATGGTGCTCAAAATTTATCTTAACTTTTCTGTTGCCTGGAATAAAAATTCTGATTCGCAGTAGTATATTATCTCAGGTAGGTAGATCGAGGACCCCGTGCTGCTTGTACGTAACTTTATAATTTAACTCTAAAGTATCAAAATTATACCAAGTATGTCACTGAGCCCCTCCTAAACGGCTGGACTAATTGTGGATGCCGAGTCTGTCGACCAATATTTCCTCCTCGTCAACTAAGACAATTATTATTATAATGGTTCTAAAACCCATGGCAACCATTTATAAATAAAAATTTCCATCGTAAATCTCTAAATCCCTGTTTGAGCACATCCCCTGGTTGGACCTAGAGGGATGATTTGTGAATCTAAACATTCCGGGGCGTCACCCAAAAAAGTTCATTCAAATCGGTCCAACCATTTAGGAGGAGTTCAATCACAATACACGTACAGTAGAATTATTTATATAAAGATAAACAATTTAAAAACACCAGTTGTAACTGTATTAAAAATGTATGTAAATTTAACCTATTTACATATTTCATAATTGTAGAATTAAGTCGCTTACATTTCAGTCATTAACTAAAATAGAAGTATCCTATAATAGTGAGTGAAAAGTTGACGGGTATATTATTAGGTATAATATACCTAAATTCCAATAATCAGAACACATGCATACAGAATACATCTGAAATCTTAAAAATATTTGTCTATGTTAAGTGCTAAATTACCTTTAACTGTACATATACATATATAAAAGAGCAACACTATCGTCTTTGATATGGATGATGCCGAACTTGTCTATTTTGGTATTGAGGTGGTGGAGGTGGAGGTCGATTAGTTCTGGTATTAAAACCACGTTTATTTGGCGGATTTCCTCTAAACTGTAGATAAGCAGGGTCTGAATGGAAGAGTTGGCTTCCACCATCAACATAATGCTGACCACTTTCACTGCTAAAATGTGGACCACCATCTACGAAATGTTGAGATCCATTTCCATAGCTGCCACCAGCAAAAGCACTATCTCGACTAAATGCACGACTCTCAATGTATTTTAGTCTGCTTTCTTCATACGCATCTTGAGTTTCAAAATCACTGAACGACTGCGTTGATTGCTGAGTCATGTTTTCTCTTTGATTGTAATTTTCACTATAAGACTGTCTCGGAGGAGGAACAGATTCGCCCATGAACTGAATAGAAGCCATCGTTTCATGTGATCGATATTGCCCAGGCACTGAAGATATCAGATTCGGAGGCTGAGAAAACATAGAGTTCGGAAACGATTGTCCTGCATTTTGAAGTGGAGGATAAGGGTACATAGGGAAGCCCGCTGGAGGTATTGGTGGTGGCGGTTGCATGGGTGGTGGTGGCAATTGAGTAACACCTGGAGGGATCAACATTTGATTTGGGGTTGGTGGAGGGGGTGGAAGTGTTGGAGGAGGTGGCGGTGGTGGCATTGTAGGCAGTGGCGGTCTAGTTGATGGAAGTGGGGGTGGTCGTTTTAAGGGTGACTGTGATAATAACAATCTAGGTGGTGTGGGAGGTGGCGGCAAAAATGGTTTTTGAGCATTTTGTGGTTTGGGAGGAACATTAGAAATTGATGGTTTAATTCCTGGTGGCATGGGTAATAATTGCTTGACTGGCAAGGTATTTGGCGTTGTAATCAATTTCACATTTTTTGTTATAGCCGCTTGCATCGCTTGTTCAGGTGTAAGCACTATAATAAAAACAATGATACAAATAACACTTAAAAACTATAGCTCTAAAATATGCCATTATAAGCTTTTTTGGTCACAAAACAATAAAAGCACATGAACAAAAACTCACTGTATTTAGCAGCCATTTTTTGCAACAATAATTTCTGATAAATGGACTGTGGGGGTATAACTTTTTTGGGTACTATAAATTTTTCTTGGCATGGAGGTGATGGTGGTGCATTTTTGTCAGGAGTTGAATAAAGATCCAGAACTTGATGACAAATATCTAAAAAAAAAAAAATGTATAAATTGTATACAACAAACATTTTTCTCACTACCAACTGACAATTTTTCTGCCCTCATAGTGATGATTTTTTTAAAAATTCCACCCCTTTTAAAATAGCTGTTAATACCATCATAGACAGTGGCATACCCTTGGTGGGGGAGGGTGGTTAGGGGTCTTTAGCACTAGATTCTAAATTGCTATCCTATAAACAATGTTTTTATTATTGTTTTTATGAATCACCAAATATATTCCAATTTTAAACCAGCAGTGGACTAAACAAAGACCATTCAGACTTAGTTTAAATAAAGCTCAAGAAAAATGTTTGTTAAACCTTAAAAACCATATGAAACCAATGACCATAAGAAAAAAACTTGAAACTAAATACACACATGACCTTAGGTCAATGCACAGGTAGAATGGATTATAAATCATATACGAATTTATAGTGCAACAGTTCTGCAGATTTTATTTCCTATCAATAAAAACTTGTAAAATCAAAAATAAATGCTGAAGTCTAGGTTAATATATAATCATTAAGGCCAACAATTATATGCCCTAAAAATCTATTAAATATGTATGCAGTTATACCCTAAAAATTACCAAAATATGCTCTTAAAATATGCTCTAAAAAAAAATGATATTGTAAAAATGATTAAATGATTATATTTTTTTATGTATTATACAATGTATACCATAGTCCATAATACAATTGTTGCCAATGAATGTATTTACAAAAATGTATGGTATTAAAAAATATTAAAAATTATAAAATTAAAATTAAATCAATAAATTATAAATAATAAGTTAAACAAAAACATTCGTCAAATAATAAACGTTTTAATTTTTACTTAATTTTATTGCATTGAACAAATTAATGATTTGGATAAGTTTTCAAACAGAATTGAGCGTCGAATGTCCGCTAACAAATTTTTTTAGAGTGAAAAAGAACATTTTACATCAACGAATGTAATAGGTGAGTATTTATAATGCAACAAATCGTTGCTTGACAGATCTTCTGGAATACCTACTAACGTGGGTACATCACCGGATAATACTTTAGAAATGTTCGTAAGAATATGAACAATTGAAAACCATTATTTTTTTTAAAAACATCTTTATTAGATTATCTCTTTTCAACCTCTTTTCATAAATTATTTGAAATCCTCATAATAATAATAATAATAATAATAAGGTATATGAGGTATATAAATAATAAGGTATATGAGTGAAACTAATTAATATTTTGTAATTCCCGATTTTATAAGATCTTAAATATGCTCCAAAAATATATTATAAATGCTAAAATATGCCCTAAAAATGCAAAAATACCATAATATGGAAAAATATGCAAAATAAAATTTCGTATACAGCATCGTTAGGTTATAAAACAAATTTTGGTATAAACTAGCAATTTTTTTGACAAACCAATAAAAATATGCAAATGCATACAAGTGTTGGCCCTAATAATCATCAATATTTAATCTTACAATATATACCTTTTAAAAACCATTACACACAATAAATTACAATTTAATTTATTAATACAATCTGATTGAAGTTATGGGAAAACTATGTATATACTTTTATTTTTAGTGATATTATGTAACTAACCTTCAAGCAAATCCATATTCATTCCTTGAACAAACATATCCCACCAACGTAAATGATTTGGTGTACGACCCTGCCAATCGTTGAGTTCAAATTTACTCAGTTTACATGCTAAATATATTAATGAAACTGCAATAATCTCTGGTTCCCATTGAAGACAAAGAGTTGTGCATAAGCTGCAATATACAACACTTACATTATAAAATATTTTTCATTTTATCTGATGGAGATCAGGGATAGACTGTCATTTTCAATTGTGCTGTTCAGTGAATATTGTATGTACAATTTAAATTATAAATAGCATTAAATTGTTTAGCTATCAAATTAGAAAATATTTTTATATTTAAAAATGTAGGTATACCATGTCCAGTCTACCCCTAATGTCAAATAGATAGTTTTTACCTATCATTTACAAATGTCCAAGCCATTTGAACCATTTTAGTTAGTTTAGTCTTATCACCTGTTAAATAAAACATCAAAATGATATAAATCCTATAAAACCTATAAATTAAGAAAATAATAATAAATATTACATACCTTTTAAACATTTAGCATACTTTAATAAAAACTGATATGGATGATCAACTTGCAGATCAAATTTAATTGTTTGCAACAATATACGTTCGAGCACCATTACTTCTTCCTAAAATGTTTGAATATTTTATAGACAACCAATAAATTAGTACAATATTAATTTAAGTAAATAACAAACTAACCTTAGGGTCTAATCCAAGGGTATCGTATTTATCCTCGGGCAATATTGCTTTAGCCAACTTTATTATGTCTTTACATTTCTTAGGTGTTTCTTCTACTTTACCCGCAAGAAAAAGACAACAGCATGCTGTGAGCTTCAATAAAAAAAGGCACATACATTAATTTCACATAATATAAAGCCAAACCGTGTAAATATTATGCTAGATGACAAGAAATTCAAGTTTTAAATTATAAAAATCAAAATGTAGGTGCCAAAAAGTAATTTATTGCAACACACAGTAGTGGCTAATTTTCCTTTAAATTAATAATATTGTCTCAAGATTTCGTAAATAATTATTAGTACAAACAAAATGTGTATGTTTGATTTTATTTGTAAACGGTCATAAAATATTATGTTAGGTTAACATTTACGTTGATATTGAAACGTAAAAGTGATAACCAGTGGTCGAAATGGCTCAAGATTTGTCCTCAAGAAGGACGCCTTATAATTCAGATTTCCTGATATCATTATAACATTCTTCTATTCTTCATCTAACAAAAAAGTAGAGGGATGCTATCCCTCCGTATCCCCCCCTCTCCCTATTCGAGCACTGGCGATGACCTAAAAAAATGTATCATATAGGTAATGTGAAAAAATGTAGAAACAAACAAAACGGTTTGGACATCTAGTGGCGACAAAGTCTATCCTCGCCATAGCCTAACCTCTATATTGAAAAATCTGGACGATATGTTATGAGCATGAGTATAATTTAAGCTATGATTATCAATAAATGTATATTAGGGTACCTCCATATTAAATAACTAAGATATTAAGGCCGCAAAGTTTTGAAATTGCCCGACCACATTTAAAATACTTCAGCGTCACTGTGGTCAACAATGCTGCACATGCCACATAGGTGTTTCCAAAAAATATATAAAAACACGAAACACTTTAATGTGTTGATTTTTGTATTTTTAATCAATTAATCTGAACATTATACTGTTTTCAGATATATTGCAGCATAGTAGGAAGTGTAAATAACCACACAATGCTACGGAGGCGGTAAAGTACAGCTGGACACAGTTTACTGTCACCGCGGCACAGTAGGCCTTAGTTCGAGTGTTTTTTTTTTTTTTGTGGACATGTACTGATTAAAACAGAAATGTTTTTCAATATGGTGTAATTTTAAATTGTAAATAAATAATCATCGAAGAGGATTGCATTGCATTGCATGGATCGCCGTGTTTTAACAGATTATGTTGTTGAAACAAGTACTATTTACAATCGTCATTCCACAAGCAATGAATGTAATGTAGAATCTTTGTTTAAAGAAAATTGTAATCTTTTTCGACAGCCGAAATATCAATAAAATTACAAGGTTGGTAGATTCACTCAAACATTAGGTACTCACATATCTAGGGAACGTTTTGAACGAATGATACATATAAAAACGATGGAAGTAAACGACACCAGTGGCCATCGTGTTGTAGCCCAGGTCCATCTTCGTACCAGCGTCGATGATGAACCTTGCCCCTTCTTGACGGTACCGGGACTCCCTCTCATGTGGTATGCCATCCTGAGCCGAGGCGGTCCGGTGCAGCTCATCCTTGTCGAAATACCAAAAGGCCATTGTCGTAGTATTGAGGGGGTCTGCAGGACATAAATTATCAAGATGTGATTATTTACAGTTCAGAGTTCAGACGTGAAACACTCAAAACATCAGAGTACCAGACGTCTAAACAATGTCTATAGTCAATAGTCGAGTCGACACTCGACGGTGGAAAATGGAAATAAGTAGTAACTATTAACTAAAGAGCGGTTTATATCTCTACGAAATAAACGTTTTTTTATCAATGTCATGGAGTAGAAATATCGCTCGTTCCGAAAATGGAATAAACGACACGCCCGTGAGAACTTTATCACCGGCCGCCAAATTTATTTCATTTGAATTGTAATATTTTTGTTTGTTAACGCGTATTATAAATTTTAGTATATTATTGTGATTCGTGGTAATCGGAATAAAAATCCCAAGACTACAATATTACTCATAACCACGAGAAAATGATTGATCAAATATTGCTAATGTAATTACCAAAATAATTAATATATAATAAAAAAAAAACATATTATTATACTTATCTTATATCGAAAAAAAATTTAAAAATCAATCTATGTTTAAAGTTTAAAATATATATTGAATACAGTTTAACTTACTTTTATATTGATATTTGACATTATAATTTTCAAACATCAACAATGATATTTTGTTTTATATCATGTATAATTCTGTAAAAATGTAATCCACGAAATAAAATATAACGTTTCTATAATATATAATATATAATAATATATAATATAATATATAATGTAAATATAATTATTAGGAGGTGTTTTTACAAGGTTTCCTTTATAGATAAAATATATAAAAGATTATAAAATAAAAAATATTTCGAATGATCAATACATCAAATATTTCAAATAATAGTAATAATAAAAATTAAATAATTATCAAACAATAGTTAATGAGTAGTGTATTAATACCTATTATTTTAAAAGAACCACGGCATAAACATAATATTATTTTGTTTCAAATAGTGATAAAAAAAACAAAATATTGTTCAATGTTTGAAAGTTGTTTATTATAAATATATTTTTTTTAATGATTAAGTATACCTAAAAGTCTAAACTATAATAAGTATATTTCGTTGTAATTAAATTTAATAATGTGGTAATTACACTAATTAACTTTTAAAAAATATTTGTTCAATCATTTTCATGTGGTTGTGGTAGGAATATTGTATTCTAAGGATTTTTTTCCGGGGTTGTTCGTCGGGGGTTTCTTCAGGGGATTTTTATACCGCAATTCATTATTATTATTCATTTAAGATGTTTTATGATTTTTTAGATGAAGTACAGTATTTGATTGATGCGAATATAAATTCATTGTTCAGATGGACCACAAATACATATTGTACTGTATCATTTTTTTCGATTGGATGTCAGAAATCTGGATTTCATATGTATCATCAAATCGACAGATAATCGATCTATGTTCATCTATCAGGCGCGGATCCAGAAGATTTTAACTGGGGATGCTCAAAAACAAAAAAGTAGGCAAGTGGATGCCGCTCTGCTGTTAAATTTAAATTCAATGATATAGTATCATTGTATAAGAAAAACGATTCTGATCGAGACGGCAGGTATGCCAGGTTATAATATTACAAAGTATATTTGATGATATTGTTGTGAATAAAGTAATTTATTTACCTACTTACGTGGAACTTTGTTTTACATTTTCAATCTTGAGCTGTAAAAGTTAAACATTTTATACATTTTTAACCAAAAAATAATTTTAGATTCTAAGCGGAGCAATGAATATATTGATTTAACAATGATGTGTGTTTTTTTTTTAATTTTTAATTTTTGTGCCCGTCATCACTGTTTGAGGCATCATTGCTTCGATTTTCTTCAACAGTATTTTGTTCGATGGAAAAGTAAATCTAGTTGGTGCATTCGGGAGGTCAAATTTTAAAATTCTCATTTCTCAGTAGTTTTCAAACGCGCCGGGAAAAACAACATAAAACTGAAGAAAAAACATGAATTTCCGTGTTACAAACATGTAAATCCGATTTTGGTTTTTGGTGTAACTCTAGAACAAATGACAGTATAATATACATGAAATGTTCACTGGTTTTTATACTAGAACTATCTATACACGATCCGATTTTCAACATATTTTGATTTGTTTTGAACTGTTTACGGACATTTTCAATTTCCAATTAGTTTAATTTTTGTTTCTATGAATGTCAATAACATTTTATCTGTAGAGTAAATACGCTTGAACATTTAATACAAGGCTAGTATTGTTACAATGAAATTTGAAAAATATTAAAAATCCATAATCACAATTATTTTTTAAACGCATTTAAAGTTCAAATCTGAACAAAATCACGAAAATGCGCAAATTATTTTGTGTTAAAAATTAATAAAAATTTTTCTTTTTTAACCTAAGATTTTAAAATGTAATACAAGATTCCTTATAAAGTTATCTACCTTTATCAAAAACAAAAATATTAATAAGAAAGTGAAATTAAATTTTTATGAGCGTTTGAAGATCAAATTCTTACAACATTGAATATTCACTGGATTTCTCATGTAGCAATTTTCGTATTTTGTTGTAATTCAAAAACAAAAAACCGTAGACACTTGAAATTTATATCATATGTTTATTTTATCAATTCCTATACTTGATCAAATTTTGAAAATATTATCAATTTTTTTCGTTTTTTTCTATAAATGTCAATAAAATGTTATTCGTTAGGTCAAAAAGCTTGAACATTTAATTCAAGGCTCCTGATATATTGTTACATCAGCAGTTGAAAAATATTAAGATAATGTTTTCTTATTATATTGTTTTATTATATATTTTGATTAAAAATAACAATTTTCAACTTATTTTTATAATAATTAAAATAAAACAATTTAGTACTCAAGCCGTTTGTACACGTAGCAACAAGCACAGGATAAAATGTATACGTATCGGGGCCTAAATCAATGTGGAATGACACTACAGGCTATAGATATTTCCTCTTCAAGGAAAATCGTGGAACCATCATAGATATGTTTTTGGGTATATAAATGTACAATTTAGTGGAAAAATATCTATATAGTAGCATGCTACATTTAGTTGGGAGTTAAATAAAAAATTTTAGATTCTGAGCGGGGCGATGAATGTATTGGTTTTACAATGATGTGTGTTTTTTTTTTAGATTCTGAGCGGAGCGATGAATGTATTGGTTTTACAATGATGTATGTTTTTATATTTTTTTTTATATTTTTGTGTCTGTCATCACGTTTTAGGACAGTAAAAGTGCTTGGATTTTCTTCATCAGTAGCTTTTCTGATAGGAAAGTGAATCTAGTTGGTACTTTGGGGGGTCAAAAGTATAAATTTCCCAGTAGTTTTCACAAGCGCCGGGAAAAACAACATAAAAATTAAGGAAAAACGGGAATTTTTACGCAAAATGGGTTTTCTAAAAAATCGATTTTGGTTATTGGTGTAACTCTAAAACAAATGAACGTATATATGTCGTAGGCAATCAGTAATAAATTACCATATAATATTTATTGTTATTATGATTGTAATTCTTAAAAGGCCTAACTGCTGTTAGTCTGTATGCAATGAGCCTTAAAAACAGCAGGCTGTTTGGAAAAATAATAAGTAATTCGCAAACGGGCTACCCCATTGCAAAGAGCCTAGTCTTTTTGCAAAAAATCTAATTTTCCATACGGCCTACGACACATACATGAAATTTCCACTGGTTGTTTATAATTGCATTTTCTATACACGATAACATTTTCAAAATATTTTGATTTATTTTGAACTGTTTAGGGACATTTTCATTTTCCATTTTTTTTTAGTTTTTTTTCTAAAAATATCAATAAAATTTTATTTGTTGGTTGCGAAAGCTTGAAAATTTAATAGAAGGCTCCTAATATGTTGTTTCAAAGGCAGATGAAAAATATTAAAAATCCTTAGTCACAATTTTTTTTTATAAGCATTTAAAGTTCAAAAATTGACAAAATATGGAAAAATCACGAAAATTAGCAAATTATTTTGAGTTAAGAATTCGTAAAAATTTTTCTTTTTAAATCTAAGATTTGAAAATGAAACACAAGATTCCTTATAAGATTATCTACCTTTATCAATAAAAAAATCTCTACCGGACAGTCAAATTAAATTTTTATGAGCGTTTGAAATTCAAATTTTTACAACATCGGATTTTCACTCGATTTCTCATGTAGCGATTTCCTTATTTTGTTGTAATTCAAAAACGAATAACTGTAGATACATGAAAATTTCACTGAATGTTTATATTAGCATTTCATATACACCATACAATTTTGAAAATATTTTGACTCTTTTTGAGCTGTTTATGGACATTTACAGCTTTCAATTTTTTTTAGTTTTTTTTTCTATAAATATCAATAAAGTTTTATCTGTTGGGCCAAAAAGTGTAAAAATTTAATACAAGGCTCCTGATATATTGTTACAATATCAGTTGAAAAATATTAAAAATACATAGGCACGATTTTTTTTTATAAGCATTTAAAGTTGGAATTTTGACAAAATTTATCAAAATCTCGAAAATTATCAATCGTTGAAATTAAAAAATTATAAAATGTTCAGTTTTTATAACTAAGAGTTGAAAATTTAAAACAAAGATTCTCTTAAATAATTCATACTGTAACCAAAAAATCTAAAAAATATATAAACACACTTATTTTTTACAGACATTTTAATTTCAAATTTAGACAAAATTTCATATTTAAACCAAGAATTACGATTTTAGTTATTTTGTTGTGATTGAATAATACTATTCGTGGGTACTTGAAACTTCTAAAGTGTACTATTATATATCTATGATAGTATCACGGTTTTTGTTGATGTATAACGCGTTATAAGTATCTAATGGATATTGTGATATGATTAATTTGGAATTTATTATAGGTACCTATTATAGGTCAATTTTTTGTTTAATACCATAGATATGTATATAATATGCCTTATACATAGACTGACATACCATCACCGCTCAGAATCGTTTTTCTTATACAATGATATTATATCATTGAATTCAAATTTAATACCATCCATTATACAGTGACCCACTTGTAACCTACTGTACAGCAGAGCGACACCCACTTGCCCACCTTTTTCTTTTTAAATCTAAGATTTGAAAATGAAACACAAGATTACTTATAAGATTATCTACCTTTATCAATAAAAAAATCTCTACCGGACAGTCAAGTTAAATTTTTATGAGCGTTTGAAATTCAAATTTTTACAACATTGGATATTCACTCGATTACTCATGTAGCGATTTCTTTATTTTGTTGCAATTCAAAAACGAACAACTGTAGATACATGAAAATTTCACTGAATGTTTAAATTAGCATTTTCTATACACCATACAATTTTGAAAATATTTTGACTCTTTTTGAGCTGTTTATGGACACTTACAGCTTTCAATTTTTTTAGTTTTTTTTTCTATAAATATCAATAAAGTTTTATCTGTTGGGCCAAAAAGTGTAAAAATTTAATACAAGGCTCCTGATATATTGTTACAATATCAGTTGAAAAATATTAAAAATACATAGGTATGATTTTTTTTTATAAGCATTTAAAGTTGGAATTTTGACAAAATTTATCAAAATCTCGAAAATTATCAATCGTTGGAATTAAAAAATTATAAAATGTTCAGTTTTTATAACTAAGAGTTGAAAATTTAAAACAAAGATTCTCTTAAATAATTCATACTGTAACCAAAAAATCTAAAAAATATATAAACACACTTATTTTTTACAGACATTTTAATTTCAAATTTAGACAAAATTTCATATTTAAACCAAGAATTACGATTTTAGTTATTTTGTTGTGATTGAATAATACTATTCGTGGGTACTTGAAACTTCTAAAGTGTACTATTATATATCTATGATAGTATCACGGTTTTTGTTGATGTATAACGCGTTATAAGTATCTAATGGATATTGTGATATGATTAATTTGGAATTTATTATAGGTACCTATTATAGGTCAATTTTTTGTTTAATACCATAGATATGTATATAATATGCCTTATACATAGACTGACATACCATCACCGCTCAGAATCGTTTTTCTTATACAATGATATTATATCATTGAATTCAAATTTAATACCATCCATTATACAGTGACCCACTTGTAACCTACTGTACAGCAGAGCGACACCCACTTGCCCACCTTTTTCTTTTTAAATCTAAGATTTGAAAATGAAACACAAGATTACTTATAAGATTATCTACCTTTATCAATAAAAAAATCTCTACCGGACAGTCAAGTTAAATTTTTATGAGCGTTTGAAATTCAAATTTTTACAACATTGGATATTCACTCGATTACTCATGTAGCGATTTCTTTATTTTGTTGCAATTCAAAAACGAACAACTGTAGATACATGAAAATTTCACTGAATGTTTAAATTAGCATTTTCTATACACCATACAATTTTGAAAATATTTTGACTCTTTTTGAGCTGTTTATGGACACTTACAGCTTTCAATTTTTTTAGTTTTTTTTTCTATAAATATCAATAAAGTTTTATCTGTTGGGCCAAAAAGTGTAAAAATTTAATACAAGGCTCCTGATATATTGTTACAATATCAGTTGAAAAATATTAAAAATACATAGGTATGATTTTTTTTTATAAGCATTTAAAGTTGGAATTTTGACAAAATTTATCAAAATCTCGAAAATTATCAATCGTTGGAATTAAAAAATTATAAAATGTTCAGTTTTTATAACTAAGAGTTGAAAATTTAAAACAAAGATTCTCTTAAATAATTCATACTGTAACCAAAAAATCTAAAAAATATATAAACACACTTATTTTTTACAGACATTTTAATTTCAAATTTAGACAAAATTTCATATTTAAACCAAGAATTACGATTTTAGTTATTTTGTTGTGATTGAATAATATTATTCGTGGGTACTTGAAACTTCTAAAGTGTACTATTATATATCTATGATAGTATCACGGTTTTTGTTGATGTATAACGCGTTATAAGTACCTAATGGATATTGTGATATGATTAATTTGGAATTCATTATAGGTCAATTTTTTTAATACCATAGATAAGTATATAATATGTCTTATACATACACTGACATAGTGACATACCGTCACCGCTCAGAATCGTTTTTCTTATACAATGATATTATATCGTTGAATTCAAATTTAATACCATCCATTATACAGTGACCCACTTGTAACCTACTGTACAGCAGAGCGACACCCTCTTGCCCACCTTTTTTTGTTTATTTTTGTTTGAACTTATCGCGGTACATTTTTTTTTAGTTTTAAAGATATTTTCATGTGTTATAAATTACATACCTACACAATTTAACTAGAAATGTTTAATTTATTTTTTAAACAAAAATTAAAGCTTTTGAAAGTATTTAACAAAAGTTAAAAAAAAATGAAAGGATATTAGACACCCCTATTTCCTTTTTTTCATAACTTAAGATATGATTCCGGCCGGTCACTTCCCCGGAGACACATTATATAAGAAGTAAAAATATATATATTTTTTAATTAAATAAATGTTATTTTAATGTATAATACTATAATATGCTGTGTGTAATAAAAAATAAAAAGTGTAGAATTAATAAAATAGTTTTTACATAACGAGATTATAAGAACTTAGAAGAGAGTTAGGTATTAAATATAATATATAACTGTACTTTGAATTTGATATAACTTTGTAACTACTCGTAACATTAAGCAGATATTTAACATAAATTAATTTGTATAATCTCTTATCAATATTTGATAACCGGTGGGCGGTGACGACTAAAAAACACATTATGTTTATGTCTGACGTGAAAATTAGAAAATTACCACTGCCGAATTATAACCTGAATATTACGAATTAAAACTTTGAAAATTGTAATTACTTACCAGTCATTAGAGATCATTAGTACTTAAATTCACATAGGTACACATAAGAAATTAAAAACAAGTAACTAGTTGGACGTACATTATTATATTAAATATCGTGGATAAGATTTAGCTAAAAAAAAATTGTCTATAAAAAAAATTTCCTTGCTTTGTCATTAGCAAATGGCAACATTTACTACAACTATGTACAACACAGACTGGCATGTCTGGCAAGACCACGACAAAATAATATAGAGGACAGAGGTATGTCAGCAAAAATACATATTTGAATCTTGTTTGCGCATTCCCACTTTTAACTGTGTTAGGTTCTATCATGGCTAAATATATATATTTAACCATGGGTTCTATGATCTTCATGATTTGGCATATTATGCGACCAAAGAGTGGTGGAGAACAATACAAAATGGGGGATATGCGTATCACAGCGTGTTGGCAAGACGTCATGCACTCATCACTAAATTCCCCAATTTATACCATGATATACCGTGTTTCTGGTCGTTATTTTAGACAAAATCGGTGTTACGAACTTCATATTAGTAAATTATGGAAGTCCGTTACCACGAAGATAATCGCGGTAATAATATACGGTTAAATGGTACCGATGTCCACGTTTGAAAGCCGTCAAGTATTTGTATTTGTATTTGATTTGTCATATTGTAAATTATTATTAAAAAAAAATCCCTGAAACAATGTAATTCTTGAAAAATATTTAACGCGCTCTTTATAGATCAATCAGGTCATAAAGTATATTTTGAATTATAAAAAAAAGCGGCTAAGTAGAAGTCACTCTGCTGTACAGTGGGTTACAAGTGGGTCATTGTAATAGATGGTATTACATTTCAATTCAATGATATAAAACCATTGTAAACGAAAAACGATTCTGAGCGAAGACGGTTTGTCAGCAGTGGAGCATTTAGGGGAGGATGAAGGGGGCAAATTCTCCAAATGGCTAATTTTTGAGGGCGGTAAAAAATTATAGCTTTTGCTTATGATGTGATCATGAATTTTAGATTCTGAGCGGAGCGATGAAAGTATTGATTTTACAATGATGTGTTCTTTTTGGTCTGTCATCACCTTTTACTACTTTAAACCTTAGAATGATATTTTTATATTAAAAATTGTGAAATTTATTACCAGCTATGCCAGCGTTTCTCGACCTTTGGTACGCTATAGTGGTACTCGTAAATTAAAAATTTAAAAATAACTTATTAGTATCGTAATATCGTATATGACTATTAAACCATCGCAAGAAAGCTGCAAACACCATTTTTAAACACTATTTATACTACGATTAGAACTGAGAAGCTGTATTTTTTTCATTCTGATAATATTATGATGTAATATAATGGTTGTGTACAATTATTATAGTTGATGGGGTAATTTGGATTCCAATTTAGGTAAGTACCAAAAATCAGTTTTACTATGAAGTAGTTAATTTTGGTATCGATTTCATATTAGTATTTATTGTACTATAGGCTATAGCCTCTAGGTAGGTATACGTGGACGGATGTTTTAAAATTATGTATTATATTTTATAATTTTAATACATAATTGAAAAATCGAAAACACGTAAGTTGAATAAAATTCACACTTCAAAACCTCGGGGCTTATAATACATTTTTGAACCGAGGGGTTCTGCCCCTATTGCCCCTCCCCTACTTAAAGTGATATGAAAATTTGGGCTTTAATGTGACCTGTAAAAAGTTCTCATCTTTTAGATAAAATAATATCATTACCAGCTTTTTCTTATTTTATAATGACTTTTTCTATTATTAGTTAGTGAGATTATTAGATAGGGAGCACTTAAATACATATTTTCAGACCAGTTTCAAATTTTTAGCTAACTTGGTACGCGCATTAGCAACTTTTTTTAAATGGCAACCCCAGTTTTTTTATGCAGATTTGGGAAGAGTATTTTTTTTAAACATTTATTGTATAAAAAGTTTTTTTCTATTTTCAAAACTGACCAAGTTAAAGTAAGTCAAAAATGACTTAGGATTTATGCATAATATGTGTTTAATGCAATTTTTATTTATAACCACTGGAAATAATAAAATAAGTGCCAAATAAATGTTTAATGGTGGACGGAGTGGCCGAGAGGACTAAGGCGTCGGTTGCGACTCGCACCGTCGCCGGTTCGAACTCGGCCACTTGTGGCATTTTTCTTTTGGAAGTCACGGTGTCCGGAGAGAGAGGTCGTCATCCCCCACCTGGGCATGGCAGATACCTACGGGTGTCCACTTAAAAATTCTGCCAAAACAAACACACACGTGTTGCCTGTAGATAGGTGAAAGGGTAGCTCACTCATGATTTTTTTAGCATACGAAAAAAGAAATGTTTATTGTCAATCTAAATGGTAGCAATTCGTGACATGACGTTGTAAAATCAATACATTCATCGCTCCACTCAAAATCTAAAAAAATTCAAATTTGTATTTTACATAGCTGTTATGCCTAGAAATAAATATTGTTTGAAAACACTTCCGAGGAAATTTGAACCCTTAAACCCCCCTGCCTATACCGGTACCATATTTTCTATAATAATTCAAATAATTGACTTAAGAATTAAGTTACAATGCCCTTGTAAGTTGTAACTGGTACAATACTGTAAGTAGGTACACGTACTCGGGAATCACTTTTTTTATAGTTTGTTTATATTATAATATATTAATATCATGCTTATAAGCTTATTATTTTATTAGTGCAGTATAAAAGTGCGGCGCCAGAACTTTTGCATCTGGTGGCTCTAAACAGTAAACGAATTATGTTATTTAACAGTACCTAATAATATTTAATATTTTTTTATTTTGTATACATCTATATTATTATTGTATATAATTTACAAAATTTCTTTTAATGCATTACTTATTATTTTCACATGTTAATAGTATACCTATCTAATCAATTATTAAGTATTATTTACTATAGTAAAATGTTTAAATTACTTTTTACTACCTACCTACCTACCTACCTACCTACCTATTTATGTTTATACAGTTCATGATCTAAGGAAACATTTAGAGCAGGATAATATACATATAGGCACATGGTTATTTTTGAAACATGCTCCCCCATTTTTGCCTTTAATAATACTTTTATTCAAATTCTGATTTTTAGAATTTTTAAATATACCTACCTGAAAACTATATTTTAAAATTTCTGATATTTTTGTACTATAGTCTATAAGGATTGTCTTGTGACGAACTAACTTCTAATTTTCAGATAAGAAATTGAGAAACCACTTTTTTACTGTAAATTATTTAGAGGGTGGTTTTCTTGAAAATGTTTTAAATCAACAGTAGTTTCTGAGTTATTAAAATGTTTGTACTAATGATAACAATCCTCAAATATAGTTTAACATAGGGTGACCAGAAAAAAAATACTGGACAAAATTAATAATAATTTAATTTTTTTATTAATACTTAATATATATTATATATATATATATATATAATATATACTTTATTGATTATTAATTGTGAAAAAACATTATTTTTAATAACACTGTATAAGATTAAATTCATGTACCTACTTTACTTTTTTTAAAAAACTTATTAATTCATTTTGATGACGATTGTTCAGATATGTCTTCACTATTTGATTTTTCATATTTTTCTGAAGAAGTACTTCTAATTACGTAATTAGTTTTAATAATTATGGGTGTTCTAAAAGAAATGTATGAAATTCTGAACATGAAACATTTTTAAAATGTTGTTTTACTATTATTATCGATCGAATTGTGTCCACAAGAAATTGATTTTTCTCATCTGTCCATAAGACATGTGTAATGGAAAATAGTCTTTCTACCGACACGTTAGCTCCTGGAATAGCCATTGAATACTAAAATAATCGTAAAATATTTAATTGGAATGTTATTTTTTTTCTAGAATTTTAAATATTTCACATCACCTACTTTGGCTTTTGAACCATTTTTCCAGTTTTGCATTATTTTAACATTCATTACATTTATGATTTATCACATGATTAAATTCGTCAAAAAGTTCATATTCATCGAATTTCAATGTTGAATTATTCTTAATAATATATTTAAAACTTTCTTGAATGTCACTCCAAATTGGAAAAGCTATTACTTGAATCCAACGAAAAACTTTTAGTGGTTCAAAGTGATATCCCCATTTTTCTACGTACGATAAAAAAGTGTCATAAAACTAATCAATTATCTCAATAATTTTTTCTTCACTGTACAGTTTGTTCTTATCAAGATCTGAAGTAAGTTGATAGCTAGCTCTGATCTAAAAAAATATTGATTTTTCTGATTTTTTATTTTGCCACATAACACTTCAATTTCTTCATACACCACGCATGCCGATATATGATCATTGATCACCTTCTATCCTATTTATTGTATCATATACCACGTTCAACTGACTTTGTACAAAATATAACCATACAATGGATATAGGATCATTAAAAAAAGTCCTTAAAACTGTAGGACACTTTTCTTGTGACATAAAATATGATTTCAATGCAGGATATGAATCTATTATTTTAGAAACAGCTGGCTGTAGAGATAACCAACGCGTTTTTACAGATCCTAAAATGTTTTTGTACTCAATACTAACAAAATCGCAAAAATCCTTTAATTTTTCTATACGAACTGTAATATTTTATTAATAATGAGTTCAATGTCAGTTGGCGAAATATCAGCATTCAGCACTACTATGCATAGCATAACTTTAACATTTAACAAAAATATAAACTATAAGTAATATAAGATAGTCAGTGGCGTATTTAGGTTTTTGTTATGGGGGAGATATGATTTTATCCAGTAGCCTCGCTTTTAAAGCTAGAGGCTCAAGTCAAGGAATTTTCGCATATTATATACAGCCTATTGTGTGGGGGGGATTGATCCACTTGATCACCTCCCACCGTAAATACGCCACTGACATATGTATGGTATTCATTATAATTGGATAATTTTACAAATTATTTTTATTGAAAGATCAATAATAGTAATTATTAATTACTAATTACAAATATCTTGAAATCATCTAAGTCCCCATATCTACTCAACCCATAGACACATTATTATCCTTATTACATAAAGTTATATAAGTCAAAAAATATTCATTTGAATTTTGATTTAGATTCATCAAAATTCTCAACAAATATATCTTTTGAGTATTTAAAAGTGAAAAACCTTCTTTTCACTTTTAATGACCCCCCCTCCCCCCTATTCCTATTTATAAAACAGAAGTTTGTATTGTCAAGTGGTACAAAATATTTCAAGTATTCAAAAATGTGGTATTAAGCTTAATTTTATGTTATGTTTTTTATTAGATTTTTTTTTTCATATTAAGGTACCTACCTATTTTTTTTTTTTTTGTTACCTACCAACGGCCTAAGAATGATAATTGAGTTAATAGCTTATTCAATATAATTTCAGGTGTATTTGTCTACAAATATTGTTTAAAATTGATAAACCTATCAGATGCCGTATCTAACTCGTTTTTGAACTTTGTACGAGTTAGGGCGCTTTTGCTTAGCAGAGCAGTATATATCAATGGTACATAGGTTACTATTCATGGTACTGAATAATTATGTTGGATAGTTAGACAGTTAGAAAGAACTATGAAAACAAACAATTTGGCAAGGAAATCTGACTAGAATTACAGTTCAATCATATAGTGCAGAGGTCTTCAACCCGCGGCCAGCCCTGTCATAATATGCGGCCCGAGATCACATTTTTAATTTAGCATGTACATTTTCTAGTTCAATAAAATTATAACAGTTAAGCTATCGCTATCGGAAATATGCCATAAGATAAATTGATTTACCTACCAAGATATAATTATTATTGTCTGTTAGTTCGTAATCGATTGTAGAACGAGCACAATATTCTCGTTCATGAGTAAAAGTTTCAATTTCATACTTTTTTTTTTTAAATTTGCACAATATGTCGGTGAGTAAAAAAATTGGATGAAAGTAGCAATTTTCAATAAAAATTGTCCAATAGCTATTTTTTACTCAAGTTAAAGAAAAGGCCATATGTTTGATTTGTCAAGAATCAATTGGAGATCATTGATTTACAGAACAATACAATATTAAAAGAAAAGTACAATAATGTTGAACTTTCAATTTTTTATTCGAAATATATTGAGACGGAGACATATCTTAATCTTCGAAACAGCGCATTAAGAATGATGTCTCTTTTTAGCAGTACTTACACTTGTGAACACATTTTTACACGAATGAAAATTGAAAATCTAAAACTAAAGCTCGGTTAATTGACATTCACTTGGAAAATTCACTCAGAATTGTATCGTCTCAGACCCAACCAAATATCAAAAAATTAGTTAATGAAAAACGTTGTCAGTTTTCACATTAAAAATAAAATAAAAAATTTGTAACTAAAAACAAATTTTTATCTATATATATTTTAATAATAATAATTTGTAATTTTAAATGTACCTACCAAATTTTGAAAATTCTAATAATAAAACTGAATTTTTATATAAAACACATGTTTTTACTACGAATGTGGCCCTCAAGATTTAAAAAAAATAATATGTGGCCCGCTGCATAAAAATGTCGAAGACTCCTCATATAGTGTATACTACAAATTTAAGTATACAATAGTTTTAATTTATTGAAGTTAAACAAACATTGAAAAATATCAACACAAAAAAAAAGTTCAAAAGTACTAAAAAAAAACTACAGTGGGTCTTAAATGTATAAAATCATTAGCCAAACAAAAAAAAAAAAAATATATAAAATAATTAGAAACAATAAAAATAAATCTAATTATATCACTACGCAGTCTCACTCGTGTATATAAAAATGCTAGATTATTGATAATCTTCACAATTGCTAAGCATTTAGGTATTTTTTCCAATTGCAGTAATATAAATAGTTTAAAAAAAAAAATTATAACAAAATGAGATCTAATACGGTGAATACAGCCTTTTAAATCAATACTTAAATAAAATAATGTGTTTAGAAATCTAACATCAACTTATGTATCTGCTGTAATTTTTTTTGTCTTGGATTTAACTTAATTAAAAAAAAAAAAAATATGTATATAATATATAGATATTAAATTAAATCAATGTAAGTAAAAATAAATATTATAAAATATAAAACACAAAACAATAAGTCTTGGAAAACAGGTAACTTTTGATTCTACCACTACTAAAAAGGACCCAATACTATAAGCGATGCTTATGAAAAACATTAAATTTTGTATTAAAACTACAATTACTATTATTTTTATAATTATTAATATTATTATTTAAATTATTAATATAATTATTATTATTATTATTAGTATTATTATTATAAAGATAGCACAGACAAGCATCAAGATAGGTACTTTTAGACTGATTTTCCATGAAGACTATCATATGTCACGAGGAGACGTTTAGCAGCACTGAGAACTGTAATGAAAATAAAAATATTATTAATATACAATATAACATGAATAAATAATTTGTGTGTGATTAGAGTGCTTACTTGTAGTGATGCAAAAGATATTAATTGCTATTTATCCATATCAGATTCTTGACCAGCAGAGAAAGTGCCTTGGCCCAAGCATCTTTCAATGACAGAGATGCATTCCTTGGACATGATATAAGGACGTAAACGTGGTGAAGCAAAAATAAATTTGCGGCATTCGTTGTTTGCAATGATAACAAGTACCTCGCTATTAGGAGCACTTGACAATTCATAAGCCTATTTCAACAATTATTAACAGTTTTAGTTAGAAAAAATATTTATAACTTTGAATATCTCAAATTAAATTAATTTCAAGTGGTTAATTGTTTTTTTTTCAAATATCAACCCAATATCTATGATCACACTGTGTTATTACTTATTCAAAACAATTTAAGATATCAAGTCTACTGGGTTGAATATATATATCTAAAATAAATGGTAGGTACTATAGTTTTTTGGATAGTTTATTTGTCAACATACCAAAACAATTTTTTACAGGATGTCAAATAAACCATGAAATAAATACTAAATATACTCACATTGTCTTCAACCAGATCAATATAACGTTCAAATTCTGTAGAAACAAAATCATTGGCCACTGTGCAGTCTAGAGCAGGACGGTATAGCGGTGGACGATTAAACATCATCGAAGTGAAACGACAAAGTTCAGTAGTCACAATAAATTGTTCAAGCTTGTGTGTGCCAAGTAGTGTTGTACCTTCTGCATGTGAGAACATCATTAATACAACATCCATACAATGATCTGCAGAAAGGTTCCACACCTATATATCAAAATAATGGATCGGAAAAAAAAAACACGCTTTAGTAAGACATTGTTACATTTATTATATGTTTATAATAACATCATGTTATGGGACACAGCAATTTTCAGGCAGTGTTAAGTTATTTCTGTGTTTACGGTGTAACTAGCCTTTTACTCGTTTATCCTAATACATAAAATATGTATACTACCATTAGCTCTTTGGATGGTACAATACTATATTAATGTTTACAGTTTACAGTGAAAGTTACTAATACAGACGTTAATAGTGGGTTCGTCTAACAAATTCTTAATTTATTTATTTTTTACAAACATGTAACAAAAATCTTTCATTGATCACTCTCATCCTGCCAGTCTGTCGTAATTTATACCGAGTATAATATTACATATAAACTGAAATTATTGCGATAGGGCAGATAGGCAGGCAGATACCCAGGAAGTCTACAAGTCACAAGAGTTTAGAAGCATAACAAGCGGATTTGCGCTAAGCGCCTACCTACCTGTTACAGAGCGAGAGGGTTCGTTACAGCGTGATAGGGGAAGTTGCGCGCGGCGCAATTTGGACAAACGCACAAGCGAGAAAGCCTATGAAATTTGTTTTCACTTTATTTACCTTTTTGAACAGTTCGTCCTTGTTTACGGTTTCCGATATGGTTTTCAGCTTCATTTCAACGGTCCAAACACGGCGCACATAGGCCACAAAATCCGTACGCGGTGTATGAGCGTGTGCGACGAATGACGACGATAATGTTATTTATTCCGTTATTATTATTGGCACTTTTCAAGTAAACTTTACGGTCGCTATGAACCCGGAGAGCGGCGCTGCTGTTGCACGGTAACTGGCTGGCTGCGGCAGCGGTGGCGGGCGACTGACAGCGGTGACTGGTGAGCGGCGGCTGTAGCGATACTCGTAAACAATTCGATTTTTGAAACTCTCGCTCCTCTCCGGCGGCACGGCAGCGGCAAGGGATGGTCGGCGGACGAGCGGGGTGGTCGTCGTCCTCCGCCGATCGTCCACCCCTTGGCCGGCCGGAGACTTATGGGTCGCGGAGGCCGGCCGTTGCAGTGTCGCCGTTTCGGGCAGCCCGAAAATGTGCTACCGCCACTGATATTATTCTTGTTATTATTGTCGTTATTTTTCTTAACGCATCGCAGTAAGTTTTAGGTACCGGTCAACTTTACTATTTAGCCGCCGCGTTCAAAAGAATAGCTGGTTTCGGACCACCAGGAATAGTCCAGGATATGTAAACTGTAAAGGACTCGTTCACGGTTTCGAGTTAAGGAAGGTCGAATTCGAATTTTCCGGGGCGATTGAAGAGGGTGGGATTGGGCTTGGAAAATGTCACCGACAAGGCGACAACAATTCTACAGGACCTGCGCATCCGTGAGATGTCATCTGCTTGCGTACTTGAGTGCGGAGGTACATATTATTACCTATATTTATACCTACAGCACAAACCTGTGGTACTCCTTAACGAGTATTCCATGTATAATATTATTAAATGAATACCTATGACGTGAAAGATTGAATAGAAAAAAAATGTTTGACTAACCAAATTCTGATATTTGACCATCGGTTAAAGGTTTCATAAACCTAAACCAGAAAAAAAATCTATTTAATAAATTTAGTTTTATACATTACACATAATGCTTAAAATATTGTTGTTCTGTATTTCATTAATTTACCTATTATTTATTAATTTCGTGATATAACTATACAAGTGCGAAATAGGTACGTTCCTACCTGCAGGGTCGAGGACACTTGGTCAGTTAAATTATTGTCTATTGTGATAGACTTGTCCAACTTATAGGCACATTATAAATTGCGGTGCATAATATAAACATTTTTATCTAAGTTTCAGATTTTGTATTAGGTACGTTTTTTTGATTTTTATCACGTAAAAATAAACATTTATAAAAAGTATAATTAGTATTATATTATATTTTAAAATTACTAAGTACAATTTCATATAACCAACCTAGTTATTTATTTATCTGATAAAAGGAATATTGTTTTTTATTCCTAATAAAAAAAGTAAAACTGATTTAATTATTATCAGATGATAATAAGCTTATTTCAAAATTCGGGGGTCATATTCCTAAACCTTAAACTAATTTTTTTTTTGGGTGTGGGCGGGGGTGTTTTGCAGTAAACCCTCCCCTGGATATGTCACTGCTGTGCATGACCTGCGGATGAGGTCTGGACACACCTGTGACTATTGTCTATTGATCTAAATTTGCAATTGGAAAATAATAACCAATATAATATGACATAATACTATAATAGCAAAATATACTAATTTGGTTTTTATTATTATAACATATTATCTACATAGTGTCTACTATATCTACAGACCACCCGATCACTGCAATGTTCACTCTCGGCGATTGCAGTAAATAGTAATAATATATCACTACATCTCCAGAAATGTATATACCTATAGTACCTACAAATAATATATTATTATACATTTATACCTAGGTATTTATTTACCTGTATTTATTTGAAATGTCCTGACGACAATATAATATATTTTATAAATATTATGGATAACTAGGATACTATAATATTATTATTATATTTCAATTTTGAGTATAAATCAATACGCATAACTATTAACTATAGTAATGTTAAATCTTAAAATTTAAATGTATTATTATCGTGAGGAGAAAAAACATCACGACTTGGTTGAGTTGGATCATGATTGACGACCTCGTTTGAATTTAAATTTTTTAATAACATAACAATTTCAAAGATTGCCGCTATATGCTTTCTATAATATACCTATATGGTCGTTGAATGTCGATATAGTCAACAATTGATGGGGAATATTGTGGACGTATAAACAATTATATCATTTAAAAACTGTCTAGGGGATGGGTGGGTCTATTGATCTATTGGTCCATAGCAGCAGGGATTGAGGGATCACAATTCGTGAATGCAAATCAACTTGCTGCTGTAAAAGACCAGCCAATTTCCCGTCGCTTTTTGCCCTAAATCCTTCTACCCTTACAGCAGCCGCCGAGAATGTTGTATTGATCAGAAGCCGATTATATTATACAGACACGGCGACACGTCGTATAATATATTATAATATATATATACCTTCGACTAAATAACAAATTTAATTTTGTTCTTCAGTTTGATTATACCTGACTATACAACCTTCCGGTCGAGTTCGGCTTAAATCAATTATGATGACGTGACAACGTATTTTCTGTATACATTATAATTCATAATATTTATGCATATATAGTTGCATAATTATAATACGTCTAATGTATATGTATGTAATACTGTCAGACAGCTTCTATTATCTTTACGGCCGAGTGCGTCCATATTATTTAAATAATGTACCTACCTATTATTATGAATTATAATTATATTTATCAGTAGTCACGTATAGGAACAGAAAAATAAATTCTACTGGAAGGGAGGGGGGAAGTTAAAAATTATAACACTCATGACTGATAATCAATAAATAAATTATTAAAAATTAAAAATTATTAGATATACATACAAATAATAAGATTGTTCATATGAATTTTCAGGGAGTGTTGAACCCGCAAACACCCCTTCCCTGTTTAATAATGTTGTAACGTCATTACGTCAGGGATGGATCTGGGGTGATGGCAATGGACCTCGACCCGACGACCCACTCGCACCTCGCAAACACACCTCGAACACTTCTCCATATTTTGGGAGAAACATACAATCATATAATATTGTAAATTAATGAATATTAGGTACCTAATATTATAGTATATTATAATTATTATATCCATAATCCATGATAGTGTTTTCCCGTTCAAATTGTACGTTTAGCTATAATATGTCAACGTCTAGATAATATTTTAATATTATATATAGTGATAGATTAATGTCCTATCATAAATGATAAATCCATGGCATAGTTAGTTTAATAAAAAAAAAAAAATGAGACATTGAATAACATTATTATGTGATATTTTTATATTATATTTATCTTAACTCTGGAACCGTGTCGCCTGCATGATTATTACTATATAATATTATATACATCCGTTCACGAACCGCGTTTGCGCAATATATAGGTGCCTACTATTGGTACTAATTTTTACAGGTATATCGAAACGCGATATTCCTGTCCACACAACCACACCACAATTGCAGTGTATGACAGATTATAATATGTATATAGACATATAGTAGATACCTACCTATATAATGTATATATTATAATATATTATGTGTGCTTACTGCTTACAGCGTAGTCGCAGTGCTGTAATGTGCGTTTGCCGATTGTGGGTGGGAATACTACGGTGGTGTAGACTAGTTGTAGGTATAGGTATATAATATTGTTATATTATATATTATTATAGGTACCTACGTACCATCCGAGTGTCAATAAGAGAACAAAAACGAATAATATTGACATTTGACAGACTGCACGAACGCACACATTATATTGTCATTTATCGCATTCACATGATAGAACACATACACATAATATAATATATATAATATAAATATATATATATATATATAATACATATTAAATGAATATTATATTGCCGTTATTCATTTTATTGTTGTACTTCCTATTAATATATATCCGTTGACGGCGTATTATATTATATGCATAAATATACATATTACATATAATATATACCGGGTGGTCCATCTAACGTAAGGTTGCATATAATACTCATTATTTCAAAAACTTTTTTTTTAAATAATTGTTTATGTTATTATTTAAGACGTTACAAACAAAATGTTTCTAAAAAAATATTTTTACTATTTTATTTTTTATCATTTTACTTTTTTTAATGACAACATACATTTTTAATTCCTTATTCCAAAAGAGAATATTTTTTGGAGTACTTCGATGCGTATAAAATCGAGTTTTGGTTGAGTACTTGAGACTTAAGTAGTTTATATGGGTTTTAACTTATAAGTACCTACCTAGGTATTTCAAATTTAGATGTGGGGAGTGGATTGGTACAGTAGGGTACCCCGAAAATGTTTGTCTACTAATCTGCTTGTCTAAACTTTAAATAGGTACTTAAAATTAAAACTATAATAAACTGCAGTTTGTCCGAAATTTGATTTTGATAGATCGAAATACGCTCCGTAAGTATAATATTCTGCTTTGGAATATGAAATTTAAAATGTATATTGTCATTCAAAAGCGTAAAAACGTTGTTAAATGTCTTCCGTTAAATTGATCACCCCGTATATGTATATATTATACGTTTATATACCTGAATGGCTATTGACTGTATAGTTACTATAGTATATATGAATAAAGGATATTAAACTAGTTATATAGAAGTATATTGTGTGTATAATGTATAGCTTTCACGTGTAGCCAGGTGAATTTTAATTTAGATATTTGACACTTCAATTTTTGCGATAAACAGAATTGACACTTTACTATAAAATGTAGGTACCTACTACCTACCGAGTAATCCATTTAACGCAAGAAATTCATTATTTCAAATAGCAATAACGGTTTTGGAAATAATTTTTTTACATATTTCAAGTCTTTACAAAACAACATTTAAAAAAAATATAAATATTTTTAAATATTTTGTAAGTTTTTGCTTTTTTGAGTTTTGACTGATTACATAGGTAGTACATAATAATATTTTACAGTTTTGATTTCATATTCTAAATCAGAATAA